GTGTGTGTACATGTGGTGTGTGTGTAGATGTGATGTGTGTACATGTGGTGTGTGTATACATGTGGTGTGTGTGGGTGTATGTGTGGTGTGAGTGTATGTGTATGTATGGTGTGCGGGTATGTGTGGTGTGTGTACATGTGTATGTGTGTACATGTGTTGTGTGTGTACATGTGGTGTGTGTGGGTGTATGTGTGGTGTGCGGGTACGTGTGGTGTGTGTACATGTGTATGTGTACGTATGGTGTGCGTGTGGTGTGTGGTGTGACGGTGTGTGTGTGTTTGCAGGTGTGTGTGTGAGAGGGAGAGAGAAAGCGCAATGCGCAGCGCTGTCTAACACCGGCGAATCCGGGTAGAGGCGCACAGCTGTTCATGACACTATCTGGTCCACTTTTCTGTGAGTCTGAAATTTTCAAGGTAAAAAATTTAGTTTAAAAATCCATAAATCAAACCATATTTTTATTTATGTGATTCTAATGTCTCCTAATTAAAAAAAGAAACAGAAGTTTCCATTCCTGACCCAAAGACACCGTGGGGAACAGGAGGAAAAACGCTAAATGCAAACACCGCGGACGCAGCAGCGGGAGCGCCACCGCCGCGTTTTCCTCCCACGAGGCACCGCGCGCGTCAGAGCCAGTGAGCAACCCGGAAGGCGCGAACATCCGGGGACCGCTGCCCTGACCCAGGCCCGATCTTCCAGAACGAGGCGACTGAGCAACGAGGATGGCGGGAACATCCGGGGACCCCTGCCCTGACCCAGGCCTGACCTTCCGGAACGAGGCGACCGAGGCCATCTCAGGCGAGAGCCGGCGGACCGGGCCTGTCACAGCGGAACCTCCGCTCAGGAAGCGGGGGAAGCTCCGCCGGAGGGGAAGGCGCGGCGGGAGCACAGTCTCCGGAAGTGGCGGTGCAAACGCCATGGCTGACGTGAAAGATAGTTTTCTTCCTCCTCACGTCTCCAAGCTTCACAAGCCTTTTAAGAATTAAAAATTATGACAGTGCGTCGTGGGGCTGCTTACGGCTATGGCTGCCGTGCGGTGCGCCGCGGGCAGCGGCACCGACTCCGGACGGACTGTGCGGGACGAGCGTGTGGAGGCCACCGGGCGAGGCCACCAAACGCCCCACGTGCAGTGAAGGGACTCAGCTCGCAGATGTGATTCCATGACACGAAGTTTCGAACAGGAAACGCTGATCTGCGGTGACATATCCAGAGCAGCGGTTCCTTCCGGGCACGGAGAGGGACTGAGGGGATCCGAGGAACATTTCTGGGAGGTGAAAATGTCCCACATCATGACAGGTCTGTGAGTCGCAGGGGCGCGTCCGTCTGTCAGAATCATACAGCTGATGGCGGGGGAAGGAAGTGGGAGGCTGAGGTGACCCAGTTTCAGGACCAACTGCGGAGCTGCAGCAGCCAAGGCCGCGTGGTGGCTGCACACATAAGAACACATCAGTGGACCAGGGTGGGGAGCCCAGGGACAGACAGGCACAGTCAACCCATCTTGGCGCAAAATGGGCAAAGACAAGCCTGCCCAACAGGTGGGGCAGGGACAGCTGGACATACACACGCAAAAATAAAGAACCTGGACACAGACTATAAACCCTTCACAAAAATTAACTCAGAATAGATCACAGACCCAAGAGTAAAATGCAAAACTATAAAACTTCTAGAAGATAACATGGGAGAAAATCTAGATGACCGAGGGTTTGGTGATGATGTCTTAAAATGCAACACCAAAGGCCAATCCGTGAAAGAAATCACTGACGAGCAGGACTTCACTGAAACCAAACACTTCTGCTCTATGACAACACTGACGAGAGACTGGGAAGACCAGACTACAATAGATTAAACTCGGAAGGGATCTCTGTTAAAGGACTGCCATCTAACATATACAAATAATTCTTAAAAGTCAACAAAACGAAGAACCCAATTACAAAAGTGGGCACAAGACCCGAACAGACAGTTGCCAAAGAAGGTACACAGATGACACATGAGCACATGGAAAGATGCTGGCTGTGCTACTTCGTTAGGGAATTGCAGATTAAACAGGCAGTGAAACTACTCAGGACGATGCTGTAGTGGTGGGTACATGTCGTTATGCAGCTGTCAAAATGCACAGGCTATGCAACACCATGCCTGAGCTCCACCGTGAATTGTCATGATGTGTCAGTGCAGATCCATCATTCATCGTCAATGCAACACTGTGGGGGGGGGCGGTTGTGCAGGGGGAGACTGTGCATGGGGGGATGGACAGAGGGCATGTGGGAAATTGCTGTACTTTCTGTTCCATTTTTCTTTCTTTTTCTTTTTCTTTTTCTTTTCTTTTCTTTTTTTTTTTTTTTGAGACAAAGTCTTGCTCTGTTGCCAAGTCTAGAGTGCTGTGGCGTCAGCCTAGCTCACAGCAACCTCAAACTCCTGGGCTCCAGCAATCCTTCTGCCTCAGCTTCCCCAGTAGCTGGGATTACAGGCATGAACCACCATATTTCTATATATTTTTAGTTGGCTAATTAATTTCTTTCTATTTTTAGTAGAGATGGGGTCTCCCCCTTGCTCAGGCTGGTTTGGAACTCCTGACCTTGAGCGATCCACCCACCTTGGCCTCCCAGAGTGCTAGGATTGCAGGCATGAGCCATCGCTCCTGGCCCTCTGCTCCATTTTTCTCTGAAACTGAAACTGCTCTAAAAGTAAACTCTATTTAAAACAATTGTACAGCTAAGATTTGTGCATTTCAATATGTATAAATTTACACAAAAGACTAAAATAGTAATAATTGAGCGGGGGAGGGGAATGAGAAAGTGAAAGTGTCAATTATACAAGCTGGATGAATGTTGTAAGTATTGCCGCTGGGTGGTGGATATCAGGACGAGTACTGCGTGTTTCTGCGTGCTCTTATGCCTTTGATACTTTGCACTGCACAAAGTGTTCTTAACAAAAGCAATTGAAGAGAGAGTCTTTCAAAGGGAAGACCGTCAAAAGGGACTCAACATGTACACAACTGCCTACCACATTAATTATAAAGAGGAAAGTCGGTCTGGCCTCAGATTTCTTTACAGTGACAATTGATACTAGGGACGATGGAACCATCCACAAGTTCCTCGAGGAAAGATAGTGTGAGCCCCGATTTTATAGCCAGCTGCGTGGTCACAGACACAGAAGGCAACTGGCAAACGTTTTTGATCATGCAAAAGCTCAGGGGACGTGATTCCTCTGAGCCGAGGATAAACTACAGCCAACTAAAAAACGAACTTAAAAACGCTGTCCACAGCGTGAGCGGTACACCTTGAATCTATTTAACTATAGCACTAAGGCTAGAACAAATGTGGCTGGAAGAAATTTATGAGAATGCAAAGTGATAAGTTTCTGACCCTGCAGAAATCGTAAAGTTAATAATGGTTTGGAGTTGCAGGGAGAACTAGGCAGGAAACAGGAAGAGTGGCTGGCCCGCTCATCTTTGTGACCAGGGGCTACAAGACATTTTCAGAATTGATAAAGCCAGTGCTGGAGGCTGACGTCTTGTCGCAGTGAAGTGGGGAGCTGGGCAAGGCCGAGGGAAAGGGTGGAGGAGCCGTGCACCACCCCACGACCCAATACACTGCTCATGGGGGCCCAGGAGGTGCTGCTCACAGATGGAGAATAAAATAGTGCAAGAGTCAAAATTAATTGCTTACATTTTAAAACCAAAATAAACTTATCCAAAGTTGTTCCTAAAATAGGAGGTGTTTATTTTGCATGAAATGTGAGGTGAGGAAGAAATACTGCCGCGTGGATGTCATCCCTTTCAGGCTGGCGGCTGCTATTGGTATTCCAGACGACGGTGGTTAAGACGGGGAGCCAGAAACCATAGCAAAAAGCTGCTTCCATTTTGTGACAACTGTGTTCTCGGAAGAGTGCTATAGCACAGAAACTTAGGGTTGCTTTTACATCTTCACCAGAGATTGTGTTTCTTGGGCCAACGTGAGGTTGGAGGGCTAACTTCTAAGATTTTTCTGCAGGATACATTTGAACATTTTTTAAGTCCTAAGACTGAGGAATTGGCTGTCTGCTACACTAAAACCAAGATACGGCTTTCTGAGATCTGGTTGTGGTCTCCAGGCATTCCACTATCTAAAGAAAGTAAATCCCTAAAATAGATTCCCATCACTACATGATACATTCATTTGGTAAGAAGTAATTTGCAAGGAAAATTCCATATTCAATAGCCGCAGTTTTAGAACTTATTTTTGGGTTATCCATATGGAAAATATATTGGGTAGAAATTGTTTTCAACTAATAAGGTAATTATAATATTATGCTTACAAGTTAAATTATCTCCTCCTGATCAGTGTTTCCCACTGAATGGTTTTGCACTTGAATGCAACTTAGATTGGAGGGATGGCTTCTTTTCCTTCCTTCGAGATTCTCTGCATTTCCAGACATTGAGGACCCTGGGGCTGGTGGTCCACCCACCTGGCCCCGCTGTGGTCTGCAGGAAGTGTCTCAGCCGGCTGGGCAGGGTACGGACACGTCTGCAGAGAATGCCGGACACCAGCCCCTCTGGTGGACATTAGTCTATGGACTTCTTGGTCAAGGCAGCTTTTGCATTGCTTTGGTACAAACTGAAAATACAGTCTTTGATTACAAAAGAATCTAGAAAAATAAGTGTGGTCAGAGCAAAGTTGTAAGGGAATCAAAAAAATTTTTTAAAAATAGAAAAAAACGTTGGAAGGAAAAGAGAAAATTTTGTTAAAAAAACTAAAAGCCATTCAAAGACACACAATGTCTGCCACAAAAGTTCTTTTTGGAAAGTAAATCTTCTATTCAACATTTTTATGGTATTTTTATGTTAATTTTGGTTGAAATGAACTACATAGATAAATGTTTCAGTGATTTGTGAGGCTAAAATCGTTGTTTTTTGTATGCTTATCAAATAATTATATAGTCTACATTTGCTCATTGAAGGGGAAAAATATAGTTGATAGATGCCAGATTCGTGGGTTCTGAGATTCCTTTGTCTTCTGATTTTTCAGGTGGTCGCAGTGACCCGCCGTGTCCTTGGAGAGCACCTGTCATGAATTGTGCCTCATGGCATTGCCAGACTCAAACTTCTTAATCGCTTTTGCTCTAGAAAGCACTGTGTCAAACCACCAGCTGTCAACTGTTAACGCAGTGGATGCCACTGCTGCCATGAAGACCTGCCCCTCGCCTCCTGTGATGCCATTCCCAGCCTCCTCCGCAGCTGTGGGCCACGGCCACAAGCAGGAGGGACACCTGCTCCAGGTGGGCACACGGCCTCTCCCCCACTGGGCCCCAGTAGCCCCTGTGACCTCGGAGTCACCTGTGAAGGGAGCTGGCGATGCCACCATTAGCCTGTGTCCCTCAGTGTGCAGGGGACTCTCCCACACCCACACCTCCCTGTCGTCCCCACGCACTGCCCCAGTGCTGGGACCTCCCTGTACTGCCTGCGGGAACAGCACACGCACTCACATGTGCTTGCCATCACGCATTTTTTTGTCTAGCCACAGCCATTAGCCTCTGTGGCACACCCAGCACATTATAAGATTTCGTTTCACCCTTTTGTCCTGAAATATGGTTAAACACTGCTGCGCTCTCTATCCACCCCGTGATAGTAGCTTCTGTCCGTAGCAGGACCTGCTCTGGAAATGTCACCCCAGATGCCGACCCTTGTCTGGTTTCTGTCCCGAGCACCATGTTATCACAGCAGTTTCCCTGCAGCAGTGGGTGGATGCCGCTTCCCCAAAGCTCAGCGCCGACTGGCCGTGTTTGGTATCCATCTCGGGATGTGGACAGGGGCTCTGTGCCAGAGCGCCCGTCTGACCTGCTGCTGCAGTTCCAGAACATTCTGTCCCCGGGGGTATCTGAGCGCACAGCAGTTGCTCAGTGCAGGCTGAGTGACTGACTCAGACTCCAGTCGGACATGCTCACAGAAGAGCATTTAGTTAAATGCAGACTCTCCAAGTGCGGGCGCTTGCAGGCCCTTTCCTTCAGGAACGTTCTTTCCTGCTCCTGTGCAGTGCTTCAGGCAGGTCAGCTGTTCCCAATCAGGCCTCCTAGCGAATTGAGATCTAAGAAATGAAACGTAGATTCTGCTCACACTGTGGGGAATAGTTTTATCACTTTTGCTGTGTGTTATGCGTATCCATTGTAGAAAAATATAAAATGAACAAGCAAGAGGAAGAAACAGTCACTCAGAATGCCGTCACCTGGACGCGGCTATTCACACATCTGTGTCGATGGGGACATGTGCATGTGGTGTGACCGCGCAACACGTGACATGTCGTGTGTGATTTTTCATGTGACGTGTCGTTAGCAGTTTTCCAGGCCAATAAACGAAGATCTACTGGATCATTTTAATGTTATGTAGAATGCCACGGTTTGAGCAAATTCAAGTGATTAATACGTCACTTAATTTTCGGCCATTTAGGTTGTTCAGATTTTAGCTGTTATAAAAACGCGGTGGAAACACTGTTGCGAGTGTATTGGGGCATGTCTCTTATCGCATCCTCAGGGTTCGTTCTGAGATGTTGCGCACACTCTTAAGGCTCCGGATAGGTGTCAGCAAGGGTCCCACGGGAGCGAGTGGCGAGCTCCACGTCCCGCGTCCCCTGCACCGGGAATAGCATTCTCCCTAGTACTGCCACTCTGACAGTGACGCGTGGCGTGTGGCTGCTTCTCACACGCAGCTCTGTGAGTGGTGTCGATTTTGTTCCTGGAGCAGCCGCAATATTGACCCTGTGTTTGCCGCATGTTGCAAGCGTTTCTCCCACTCTGTGCCATGCCTGTCGCCTGCTCTTCGCTTCCCTTCATTTCACGCTATCGCCTTTTCTCCCGGTTATGAGCGTGGCTTGACCTTCCATTATTGCACAAGAGCACGCTTACCGCGGCTGGGATTTTGCTTTCTGCACTCCTCTCTTTAACCACTTCAGTGCGGCGCTCACCGGCCGCGAGACCTCGCCCACAGCCGGCACGCACAGTCCGCACGGCGGTCTGTGCTGTGCGGTGACGACAAGTCCGTTTTGCTCCTGTGCGATGAGGAAAGCTTGAAAGCGCTGACAGCTTATTTTACTTTGCAGGCAGCTTTACTTGCCATGTAAATCAGAATAGGCAACATAGACATATATGTTTTCATTACGTTATTTTTAAATGTTCACAATTTTATTTTGATAAATGAAAAATTAGAAAAGTCGCATCACAGCTGTCGGCTAAAGTCGTTGTGCGTGTTCTACAGTCGACACTGGTACCGAAGTGGTTAAAACACGGGGCAACAGCCTGCCCGAGCCACAGGGAGGGGCTGGGGCCTGGCTGCCCATGCTCCGCCTGGTGGCCTCGGGAAGGGCCCTGCCTCTCAGCGAGCAGAGCGGCTCCCTGGAAAGTGCGACTGAAACGGTACCAGCCGCTTAGGGTTGCTGTGAGGGTCGAACGGGAAACTCTGTGTCGAGTCCTTATAACAGCCTCTGGTGCACAGAAAGCACAATTCTGCTGTGACTGCTGTAGAATTTGATCTGAATTTTACGAAGCCATATGGGGTTGTTTCATTACATACAGTCACAAATTAATAGTTGGTAAGCCCTCCTTAAAATTTCTCCAAGTCATCGGATCCAAAGGGGCTTCACCAGGCACCCCTGGAACCTAATAGCACAACTGCAGTTGACACTTCGATAAACCCGTCCTGCCAGGCTGAGGCCCGGACCTGGAGCCGAGAGTCGAGCTGGAGACGGACGTTCGGAGAGGCCCCGGGGACCTGGCCGCCACTCGGCACGGTAGGGACACTGTTGGCAAGGGCAGCGTCCTGAGAAAGAGGAAACCCGGAAGGGCAATCGGACCCTCCAGAGACCGCTAAGTGGAGAAATATCTGTTGATGCCAGCTTGGCTCCGCAGGCCAGGACGGCCCCAGAGCAGAGCCCCGGGCGGCTGCCGTGTAACTGGATACGACGGCATCCAGGGACTTCCAGCGCAACCACGGTGCATTGGCCCAGACGAGCACAGACACCTTCAAGAGCGGTCAGGTTGTAAGATCTTGCTCCATTTGTCATCTTGCACGATGCCTCCACTGTCACACCTCGGGGGGAGAGGTTCCCGGGCACCCTCAGAGTCTCTCTACGCAGGGGACCCGCAGCTGGGTTCGGGGCCTCAGCTGATGGGAGGAGGCCCCGGCACGGGCCGCCTGCCTTCCTCGCCTGCTGATTTAACTGTTAATGTTCCAAACACACCTTCGCGGAAATACCCAGAATCGTGTGTGACCCAGTGTCTGGACACCATGTGGCCCAGTCGAGTGGGCACAGAAGTCACCCATCATGACACCCACCGCCTGCTGGCCCTGCTTCAAGCTGGCCAAGGGGCCCCCACCATGGGCGACTCCCACAGACCTCTGCCCTCCTCCCCAAGCCCACCCGGGGACAGGACACGCCCAGCAGCCACCACCCAGGCAGTCCTGGGACCTTCTCCAGCCTTGCTCCCACGCCCCCGCACCCATCCATCCACACGTCCTGTTGGTCCCACCAGGACTCACACCCGGTCTGGCCTCTTCTGCCTGTTGTTCCCACCCACACCCTGGCCCCCTCTCGGCACGGTGGCTGTCACAGGCCCTGTGCTCCTGCCACAGCACTCAGTGGGGCTGTAGCAGGACCCAGCTGGAGACCCCTTCCTTGGCCCTATTGGGGGCTGGGTCCTGGCTGGTAGGGTGTGGGCGGCAGTGGCGTGCCCACCCCAGGCGAGGCTGAGAGGTCTCCCTCCCCTCTCTGCTGGCAGAGGCGGTGCCCAGGGCAGGCTCAGTGTCCTGACTCCAGCAGCCTGGGACCCTGCGTGGAGTGGAGGCCCCGCTCCTCTCTCTTGGAGGGTTGAGCCCAGTGGGGCTTGTTGGCTGCAGTGGGGAGAGGGAGGGAGGCTACAGGTCCCTGAACCGGTGAGCGGTGTCAGATCAAGGCTTTTCCCACACCCACCCACCCCTCCACCCTCCTGGCCCCACTACTGCCCTGGGCTTTCCTCCTTCCCCTTCTGCAGGGCTTGTTCCCCCTTGAGGCCTGCAGGCTCACTACTCCCCCTCAGATGCCTCCTCTCTGAAGTCACTGCGGCTCCACCCAGCAGCCAGCTCCACCTCCCTGCCCACCCTGCCTCCTGCTCCTGCTGGCACTGGTGGGCGGGCTGTATTCAGACGGGCCAGGGCCCAGGGAGCAAAACCAGAGAGCAAGCAAATATGTCGGTCTGTCTCTTGGAGCCGAACACACTCTTCCTCTCCTGTTCTTGGACAACGACTTCCAGCTCCAGGACTCACAGCAGGGGCCCCCAGGTTCCCAGGCCTTTAGCCTCGGGCTGAGCCTGTTGCCAGACTAATACAGACGCAGGACCTTTACCCTGAAAACTGCTAAATGTAGCCCAGAGAAATTACAGGCAACCGAAATACATGGAGAGTGTCATGGTCTAAATGTTTGTGTCCCCCTAAAATTCATATGTTGAAATCCTACCCCCCAAGGTGATGGTGTTTGGAAGGGAACCTTTCGGGAGGCTATCTGGTCACGAGGGTGGTGCCCACACGCCTGGGTTAGTGCCCTTGTCAGAGAGACTGCTGAGAGCTAGTCTCGCCTCCCGCCAAGCGAGGACACCGCAAGAAGTCACCATCAGAGAACCAGGAAAAGGGCTCTCACCAGACACCAGGTCTGCTGGCACTTTGATCCTGGACTCCCCACTCTGCAGAGCTGTAAGGAATAAGCTCCTGTTGTTTATGAGCCACCCAGTCCAGGGTGCTCTGTTACAGCAGCCCGGGAGGACTGGGAAAGACACACCCTGATCGTGGGTTAGGAGACACAGCACTGCCACGCTGTCCGTTCTTCCTGAAAGATCAACATCATCGTAAGAAAAATTCCAGCAGGCTTTGTTGTGGAAACTGACAAGCTGGTTCTGAAAGTTTAATGGAAATGAAAAGGAATTATTAATGGAATAGGGTGAACAGTCCCGACAAAGAGCCGGGAGGAATTACGTACACCAGCTTTCCAGTAAACGGCAGCATGGTATCCGTGTGAAGAGAAACAAACAGATGAACGGGACAGAGCACAGAGTCCAGAAATAGACCCACGGCGGAAATCGGAAGAGTGATGTGCTCTTGCTGGACGGCCTGGCTTGAAAGGAGCTTTCTGGGGTGACAGATGTTCTACACTGTGATTGGGGTCTTGACCACAGAGTGTATCTGTCAAAATTAGCCAACCGTGCACGTGAGGTCCCCGCGTCTCACCGGGCGTCAACTGAGCGTGAGTGCAATGAATTAACGACTCGCAGGAGCATCTGGCGGGGCTGGGGCCGGGCGTTGCTGAGAAGCAGGAGAGAGAGCGAGGGGTGACCTGCCCGGGACACTCCTGCAGGCTGAAATAGAGTAATCGCTGTGCAAGCACATTGCTGTTACTTTCTAGAAATGTCCTAGCAACTGAGCTCAAATGCTCCGCCGACCAAGAACCGGTGGTGATGGAGGCTGGGGCGCCGCGGCGTGAGCTGAGCGGGCCGCGTCCTCCACGCTCGCCAGTACAGGGCACGTGGGTCGGCCCCTGTGCCGGCCCAAAGCCAGCACGGCCAGTGTCTGCCGCACACGTGGTTCGGGTGTGGAAGGACAGGGTGGCATCACCCCCCACCCCCGCTTCTGTTTCACAGCAACATGGGGGGGCAGGGGCCTGGGCCCTGGAGTCCTCCTGGGGGGCTTCCCTGGAGTCCGCAGCTACAAAGGGTGGGCACGTCCGACGCCCTCGTTCACAGCCACCTGCGGGGGTGTGCTAATGCTGACACATTAATAAATAAAGTCAGCTGGGGCTGAGAGAGCCGTCAGTGACCTGGGCAAGCCAGCTCCCGCTCAGGGGACGGGGACGAGGACGCCGAGTGCCCACGCAGGCTGGATGCACTTATTTAATGAGCAAGGAAGACATTACCAGACAGTCAAGGGGAAAAAAAATGTGTCTCTCCACTCTGGGAAACAGTCAAAGCTTTCATATTCCACCAAAAATAGAAGAGGAATTCTAGAAAGCAAAAATAGGTGGGCTCATGCATGTCCGCCGCTCAAACGGACGGACGCGCACAGACCGTGAACGCTGTCATCGCTCTGGAATGTGGCCTGTGTCTCCAAGAGGCCGTGGGAAGAGCCGGGAAGGGAGGGGAGGCTGGACCTGCCCCCGGCCCTGAGAGAGCCGAGTACCCCGGGGACCCCCCAGCCCCTCTCCTGGTCCTGTGTCCTCCCTCACTCGGGGCTGTCTGGGGCCACGGGACGCTGCAGCACCCCCAGGTGTGCGCCCTCTCAGCTCCGCCCCAAGGCTGTGGTGATGCACTGAGCCCCTTTGCCTGCGTCCAGCCCTGTTCCTGCAGAGGCAGCGCTGTAGGGGCAGCG